TATTGCTTTTATTTTTTTTGCATTTTTCCTGCATTTAAACTGATTTCTTTTAAAAAATTAAAGCAAAACAAAAACTTATCTTAAAGTTATTGTAAATACAAAGGTTAAAAAAAATAAACAGGTTTATACTTTGATGGGAGCTGGATCTGTGACGTCATCATGGACGGGTTTTCGCCTGCGGATCCCACAGCCATATAGTTTGGATTGTCATACCACATGTTTTCTTTCTCAAATGTGTAAGTGCATAACGTTTGTATTAAAAGAGCTTTAAAAGTATTTCACTATGAGGCTTTTCCTCTTTTGCTTTTGACTGATGTCTGTGTTGGAGTGAGTTTGGTGGCTCTGGAATTTTCTGCATATCTGCTGCGTAGACACCATTGCTGCATCTTGTTTGCAGTGTCACAAACATCTTTGGAAGTCTGATGGTGAGAGCATCAGTTCTCCATGTGGAAAAAGCATTTGCGTTCTCTGTTATGTGAGATCATTCTGTTCTGGTAAGAGGCTTAACCTTCAGAATCAACATTTTGCACCTTGGAGCATGAATTTGTTTACATTAGAGCACTTTTCATGGCACTTGGATGACAATAAGTGGATTTGAACTTTCACGTGTCATATGAACTTTTAAAGAGGTGTTTTTGAATTGCACAGAGTGGCCCCGATCTTTCTCTTTTTGGATATATTTCTGACTCCTCCTCTCTGGTGAATGCCCCCATAGGAAACAGTTTCTTGCTCTTAAGACGTGCTGCCTGCATCTATACACACATACAGAGGGACTCGGTCCCACCTCCTTCTCTCTCATCAATGGCTTTGATTGACAGCAAAGCCAGTGAGAACAGGCAGTGGGGGGAGAGCCACTGGAAATGGGCACAGAGCTGAACTGAACGAGGGCTCAGGTAAGTATAAGAAGGGGGGGGGTGAGGGGGGGATATTGCTACCTAAACATTATTTACCTTAATGGAAGGAATGCATTGCGGTAAACCTGCTTTATAACCACTTTCAAATGTTTTTAGTTTCGGAGAGCATAGGGAATGGCTAAGACGTCTATTAATTTTTTTATTGGCTGTCTGTGTTACCTTGGTGAGATTTTCCTTTATTTCTTGTCCCAGAGACACATCAGGATGTATGAGGAGATCTTCGCACAGTAATGAAATGTCCTGTTTTAGATAGTTGTCAGCAGATCAGGTTTCCCAATTGGAAGATTATCCCTCCCCTCTTGCTCATGATGATAATAACCAGAACCAACACTGAGGGTGAACCTCCCCAGCAAGGACAAAGACAGCAATAAAAACATGACAGAGGTTGTATTCCTTCCGCAGTCTATCCAATACTAAAAAAAATATATTTGGCTTACAAATACTTTCAAATGAACCTGAACCAAAAAAGTGAAGCTTTACTAGGCTAGCCTTGATATATAAAAATATTTAGGCTGAACTGTGGGTTAAATGAAAAAAAAAAATGACCAAAAATCAAGGCAGAAAGAAATTAGAGTCTTTAAACATGCCCCAGCAGAAGGGTAGTTTTTTTCACTTACCTCGCCTAAAAAATTAAATTTTTGCCTTGAACTTCCACCACTGTGCCTACAGCTTCATATCTGCAGTGTTAGATCTAAGACACTGCTGTATCACGAGATTCGGAGTGAGATTTGGTGATGCCACCTTTGTGCTGCTTACTGAAAAGGAAGCTTGTAGGAAGGTGCAGCCAGCTAGTCTGCCGCTATTTGGCCCTGTTCCAGAATAGTGTCTGGATACAGAAAGCTAAGCCCCTTTTAGTTAGAACCCTAACTAACCCTAGTGATGTCATGGGTGAGTCAGGGCCCAGTTATAAGCTAAGCTGGGAGGATCCCTAGTTGCAATTGGGGTATGGGAGCCAAACACCCCACATCTATGCATATGTAGCCAGCAAATGGAGGCCCTGGACAGGACTTGAGGCCAGGGAGAGTTAGACCTGCTCTCATTAGAGCCGACTGTGGACTTCCTTAGTTGTTTGGAGGTGAGGGCTAGGTTAGCTTGAAAAAGGCCTTTTAGGCCAGGCCAAGAGTTATCTGACTTAGGCTATCCACAGAGAGGCATACCTGTGGAGGAGGTGACTGCGGAGATCCTATCCCAGTGAGTACTAATGACTAATGAAGATGGTTTACTATACTGGCTACCTGATGCTAAATGTGCCATTTTCCAAGTAGTTTCCACCAGTAAATTGCAGCAACTCTATTTATGTGTGGACATTCCTTCCTTTGGGGATATAAAGATTAACGGCTGGGAATGTTCTCTTGCATTGATGGGGCACAAGATGGCGGAGGGTTAAAGCCTCAGCAGGAGGGTCACTGTTCTAACAGAAGAAGAACGGGGCAGGGACTTCTGACTGTGGTGCCAATTTCCAGGTCCATTGTTCCAAGCTGGACCAATGTAATTATGTATAAAAAATCCATACCTGGGGAAGTCTTCTTTTCACATTAACTGTTTGGCATTTTGGCTGCTTCCTGCCTGTAGCATGCTCTGACCTGGTCTAGATCTTTGTCTAAATGCGATTTCTCCTGTGCTCCGGGACCCAGGCCGGTGGTGAGTAGATGAAATCAAACTCCGAAAAAAAGCAACCACCGGAATAAACAAGGTCGTGCAGCTACACACCACCAAGGCTGGGGAAGCCCGAACAGAACTGTGAAGTAAAACAACAAGAAGCGCACCAACCTTGCGCATTACCTCAGTAACCAAAATGTATTTAGTAAAAGAATGGTACTCACAAACAGCGAATAAAAGCAGGCATGTAAGTCCTCAGAGCTCTGAGGAAGAAGGCATGACCTTCGAAACGCGTCAGCTGTACTGAGTGGCTACCCCCATGATGGGATTCGCACTGGCCTCTTGCCTTTAAAGTCCCTTGGAGAACTTACATGCCTGTTTTTATTCGCTGTTTGTGAGTACCATTCTTTTACTAAATACATTTTGGTTACTGAGGTAATGCGCAAGGTTGGTGCGCTTCTTGTTGTTTTACTTCCTAGATCTTTGTCTTCCACACTGGGATCTCTTCTGCTTTCCTATTGCCTGATTGTAAGGTGTCACCAATAGGGAAATCCAAAGGCATTAAAATTGTGAGCTACAGTATTTCCCAATGGAACAATGGTGAAATCCCTCATTTTACAGACTATGGGGGAGATTTACTAAAGCTGGTTCACTCAGAATCTGGTGCATCTGTGCATGGTAGCCAATCAGCTGCTAACCTCAGCTTGTTCAATTAAGCTTTAGCAATAAAACCTGGAAGCTGATTGGTTTCCATGCAGAAGCGCATGATATTCTGAGTGAATCAGCTTTAGTAAATAAACCCCTATATGTCCTGCTGGGTCTTACATCTTACGTCAGCTGGCAGTTAAAAGCTGAGCTTAGTAAACTGGAATCTGGTTGGCTAGTCTGGATTACTATTCTTTGCTGTGCCATTTTCTATCTCTCTGCGAATGATGGATCACCACTTGTTTATGCTATAGGACTGCCCTTTGTAGACTCCATTATCAATCTCTGCATTAAAGCTGGCTGTAATGTGTTTTGGTTGTGCATACCTCCATTTCCCTGCAGCCATTCGTGTTATATTTAGACTTTATTTAGAAAGGGCTACAGTAGCCTGCAGCTGTGTACAGCAGAGGAATAGCTACATGTATGGATGTGATCTAATGACAGGTATTAGTAGACTTGCCAATAGATGAGAGAGCCCTGCTGTTTCATAAATACGATTTGTGTACCAGACTAATGCAAACATCACAGAAAGAAGAAGATTGAAGAAGATCACAGCACGATGGGTGTGGATATTAAACTGGAAATGTTGACTGGTAATATCAAAGTTTATCTTTCCCACATCTGCCTATTTGTTAAAGGTTATAAAGGTTATATTGCATGATTTAGTTCAATTCACCACATTCATATAAAGTTATGAATATTTATAGTAGTCTAAATGTAAACGATAATTTGCGAAAAATGATCCAAGTTCATATATCTCTTGATTCTGGACGTGGTTTGTGAGTAATAGTGAAAGGCTATTGTGGAGAGCCTTACTATGGGACTGCCTTACCATCTTCATGGACTGTTATGCTGCCATGTACCATACTTATGGCTGTGCACTTATTCCAGATAATATTGATTATCTATGAACCTTTAAAGAAAAGAAACTACAATATTTAGCCTCTGTGTGATGTGATGAGAAGACATATTAAGATTAAAAGTGTAGTTTAAATTGTTAAAGCCAAAACTTGGGAAAACGTGATGAGTGCAAACATGGTCAGAGCTGGGATCTGGTAGTTGTTAAGGCAAGGGGTCACCTTCCTGGCTGAGAGAATAGAACCTCCCCTCAATGGAACATGCACCAGCTGACCTGAGCCCCTACATGCCATGGGCCTCAGGTGTTCAGCTAGACCTATGGAGTCCTAAATTGAAACAAGTATAATGCAGGGTCCTACGTGAAAGGTGATCCAGGAACAAGAAAGGTTGCTATGTCTATGAAGAGAGAGACAAGGGTCTCTAACCCATCATTTTGTGTGTGTGCAGGCATGGAAGTCTGCATAGGTTATGGAGGGAGCATAAAAGGGGTAGAAAATATGACCCCTAGATAGCCCTACCTACACATGTGCTCCACTGCCTGCACATTACACACTCAGCCTCACCCTGACCAAAGATTTTCCAGCTTTCAATATATCAATAAGACCACAGACTGAGAGGCATCATCAATTGGGCAGGTTAACTGAGCAGTTAACCCATAACACATACCACATGGTAGCAGCCACCATATGCTTTAATAGAAATATGCATAGTTCACAGCAGGGGCGGACTGACAACTCATGGGGACCCCGGGCAATAGGGGATTATGGGGCCCCGTGTCCTCACCCACACTCAAACCACACCCAAAAAAGCCTATGAAAGGTACCAGGGGCATCTCATGGGGCCCCCTACTGACCCCGGGCCCTCGGGCAGTGCCCAAGTTCCCAAACGGTCAGTCCGCCCCTGGTTCACAGCATCTGCTGTTACAATTCTGTCACTTGCTGCCATGTCCAGACAGGAATATAGCAGAGTTTACACTCTGTAAGCTCTTTCACAGAGGGAAAGTTCTTTAATTTCTAGATAGAGCATTCAAAGATTCAACCTAATGACTTTTAGGGCCGGTTCACTCCGGGAATCACACAGGAATGTGTTGTGCATTCTTGTGGGATTCACATGCAGTTCTGTTTAGTGCGATTTCAGCCCATTCATTTTCAACGGGCAGAAATCACACCACACCAAAAATAGTACATATACTACTTTTGGGAACTTACTGCAACTGGATTACATGGTACTTCTGTACCATGCAATCCAGTGCAGGCAAAAACCCTTGTATCACAGATGTATTTCCTGAGAAGTTCTGCTTATGACTAGAACATTTTAGGATGGGGTCAGATTAGAAGTCATTTACAGATCCTAAGTAGTGTGGATTTATGCTACCTCTGCCTTTTGTCAAATGTTCACCTTCCCTGAATGCCTAGCATATGTATGAGATTTGAATCTGATCATTTTTGTTGTTGGCGTATGGGTTCTCGAGAAAAATGATGGTGGAGTGGTGTTCAATATCTGGGTATTGCTGACAGGGCCAACCACAGAGCAAATTTCATCAAATTCATGCTAATTGGCTGAAATTCAAAGTGTGGATGACCAGCTGAAGAGTACTAGCCAGCAAACACACGCATTCATGAAGAGGTCTCCTGATTTAGCCGAAAATATCTAGGTTGGGCAACCATCATGTCATACCGATATGTGTTGAAGTGAAGTGTTATTTACCTTCCCTACATGCAGTGAGTAGATATTTGGGATTTTCTTGAAAAGTTCATGTCAGAATGCCCACCGCAGTCCCTGAGTCCTGCTATAAGTCACTGATCGCCACCATTACTAGTAAAAAAAAAAAAAAATCCAGTATATATACTGCCATTTGTAGATGCTATAACTTTCTTTCACGTAAACCAATTAATTTACACGTATCAGGATTTTTTTTAGTAAAGACATGTAGCAGAATACATTTTGGCCTAAATTTATGATGAAATTTGATAATTTTTTTAATTTTTTTACTGGACATGTTTAATGGCAAAAAGTCAAAAATATTGTTTTTTTTTTCTCAAAATTGTCGGTCTTTTTTTTCATAGTGCATCATAGGCGATCAAATACAGCTGAAAGAAAGCTCTACTTGTGGGAAAAAAAGGACATCAATTTTATTTGGGTGCAGCGTTGCATGACCACGCAATTGTCAGTTAAAATAACGCAGCGCCTTAACGCAAAAAATGGCCTGGTCAGGAAGGGGGTAAATCCTCAGGAGGGCAAGTGGTTAAAGGCGGTTTTTGCCCAATTTTATTTAAAAGAAAGTTCCATAGGTTTCCCTCACAGGGGTTTTTAGCATTTTACTCTTCCAAACACAGACATTTAGCCTCCTGGCTTATACATACAATTCTGCCCCTCTGGCCTTCCACTTCAGACTCACATCTGTCTCCTGCAGACTCTTTTCTAAACAGCTCTTTGCACACAGTTATCAGCCCCTTGGCTGCTCTGGCTACCACCTCTCCTTGGTGGAACTCTCCTGACTCCAAAAAGACCTCCTGTCTGCCGGGGTGGAGCCCAGAACCCTAGTCAGGTTATTACTTAAAGCCCTGCACAGACCTGTACAATTAGTGTGCTGGGGGTTCAGAAAATATGGACCCAGGATTGGAGATTTCATCCCTCCCAAATCACTTCGAAATCTTCAGGCTCCAGGTTCCAAAATTGACTTTACGAACAAATGAGGAAACTGAAAAGCCAGTTTCCTCTGCATTAAACAAACCCCCTGAAGCCCCTCAACCTGTTTAGTTGAGAATCCTCGATTCACACTCTGGGAGTGCCCAGAACTGCCACATAGCCTATAAAAGATAGGAGTGCTTAGTTCCGCTTTAACAAATGTATTTCCTTGTCTCCACTTTAAATTTAAAGCATAAATTCCTAATGGATCTCAGCATTGGCGAGTTTAGATTCAATCTAGGTCCAGTATGTACATATTGTTGAGTCTATTTAAGTTTTGCTCAATCCTCATGTTAGAAAGGTGTTTAATTAAAATGGTGCAGTTCTGCTGTCAGACCTGTTCCAGGTGATAGCACTGACTATGTGCTATGTTTTGCAAATGCCATTGAATCAATAAGACTCCATTAGCTGATGCGGAGGAAAAGAGAAGAGCAGGACCACTTTCTGTGGCTAATTTCATAATCCATCTCCCAATCCAATGAATGATCTAAGTTCTGGCTGGATGCATATTGCTTTATGTTCTCTTACAAATGAGAGCAGAAGTTTTAGTGCAGACACTCAGTAGGAGCAATCAGGTTATAGCTGCCAATAATGCGGTGAAGAGTGTTTCTTGGCTGAACTCAGCAGCTAGATTAAATGGAGAGATCAGGGTGACCACACACAGTACATTGTTTTAGTCACCAAATGATTGTTGCAGTACTTTTGGGTGCATGTGAGTTCATACAAGCTCCAATTAAAAAAATTTAATTGTTGTAATCGTATTCTAATTGTGGAGTATGCTGATCTCAGGTGTATATGTAGATGTACAATGTATATATATATATATAAAATTTTTTTTTAACTATATATAACCACTTACCTCCTAGCTGTAACCTCTTTTTGAGGTACTGCCCCTTTCGTACCAAATCCCTCTGCCCAGGGGCGGACTGACAACTCATGAGGCCTCCAGGCAATAGGGGATTATGGGGCCCCTGTGTCCTTGCCCAAACTCAAAAAAGCCTCTGAAAAAGGTACCAGGGGCATCTCATGGGGCTCCCTACTGATCCCGGGTTTCCAAATGGTCAGTCCGCCCCTGCCTGTGCCCCTTCTTTCTCCTCAGTTGTCCCTCTTTCTGGTCTCAAGGATATACCTTTTCATCTCTAGAAATGTTATATAGAACGTATCTCTTTAATTTGTTCATTTAATACAGGTAAAAAGGTAATTAGTGTTGAAAAATGCATTGTTGGTTTAACCAATCATTGTTTTCAGGGGTTTGTCCTTGGCCTACATTCCTTGTGCTGAAAGGTGGCCCACTTTACCATTTCTAAATGTTGGGAGCTATGTGATCCATGTTGTGCAGTAATGCATCACATCCTAAAATATAAAACCAATCTACCATTAATGTGAGGCTAAACCCTTACCTTAAAGTCTATTCGAAGTCTTACACCTTTTTATCACTTAAAAGTCCTATACCTGTACATGTTATGATTTGTCATTAAACCCCTACACACAATCACTAACTTCACCCAAACCAGGATATCAACCCAGACACTAATCTAACCTTACGTTTACCCTGAACCCTTAACATGGTTGTAAAGGCAGAAGGTTTTTTTACTTAATTAATTCTTTGCATTAAGGTAAATCAGTGAGCAGCTCCCCCAAGTCCCCTCGAAATACTTACTTGAGCCCGACCTTGATCCGGTGTTACATTCTTCATAGAACATGGAGACAGCAGCGGGAGCCATTGGCACCTGCTGCTGTCAATCAGATCCTGTGAGGAGAGAGCCATGGGCGGAACCACACTTGCCTCGTGTGTGACAATAGATGCACACAACCTGGTTTGGGATCAAGCCTGTTGAGTTTCCCCATAGCAAGTGGCTTTTATGGCACGTTATGACAGACATACAGTACCTTCCAAACAGAGCCTGTTTCCACTCGTGGGGCTTCCATGTTCAACTCATGAGCCTCCTGGGTTCGCGCTCTATAGCCATTTGAATGGCCGGACCATGATGACATCATTCTTGCACAAGATGACATCACTCCCAGCACTTCGGCCCAGTGCTTTCTGTATTATTGCACACTCCGTGTTCCCTGAATGCAGAGGGCATCTTGCTTACGCTAGATACTCAGTCAGTTGATATTTGTATCTACTAAACAGTGCAAGTTCAGGCCATTTAGAGCTGATTCACACATGTGCAGTGTGGATTGATGCTCAGGTTTCCCAGATAATTGATACAGTAGTTGTTCAGTGGTTCATGTCAGGTTTACATCAGGTTCAGGACAGGATTAGCTCAGGATTTTATCCTGTTCACACATATGCGGTTTAGAAATGGTTCCCATAGGAGTCAATAGCCTGTAATCTGCACCTGAACCTGAGGGCACTGCTCACAAATCGTACATGAGTGCTGGTTCACATATATGCGGATTGAATGCGGTTTGAACCACATCCAATCTGCATAACATGTGAAAAAACATTGCTTCCTATGGTGTCTGTTCACATATATCTGGTGCACTGGTGGTGTGGATTCAGAGCGGTTTTAAAAAGAATCATGTATGATTTCTGAGCAGTGCCTTCAGGTTCAAGTGCAGATTACAGGCTATTGACTTCTACGGGAACTGTTTCTAAACTGCATCAACTGGCACTTACAAGACACCTACAGGTTAGACTTTACCTGTGGAACAATGTTAAAAATGTAAGTTAAATACCACTTTAACCTAGTTTTTATCCTGGCCTAACCCGTAAATCTAAATATTAAAGGACGAGTTTACTCAAAAGTGAAATTCTAGCTATAGAGGCAGTGCGGTGGGGTAAGTCAGTCTAGCAGAGATGAGCTTGGCATCCTTCGAAATCAACTCTATCTGAACTTCAAATCTGGCTCTTTTTTAGTCCAGTCTGTAGGCATTGACTAAATATGGGTATGTGACCATATAAGACCACTGACCTCACCAGCATCCCTCCCCTTATATTTATGTGTGCTTCAAGGGCAGTGGATGACCCAGCTTTCAGCTGATTGGACTAAAAAGAGAGCAACTTTGAAGTTCTGATAAAGGTGAGTTTGGAGGAAGCCCATTCTCACCTCTAGTCCATAGCTTGTTTTATGTCTTTGGTGCTCCAACAAGGCGATCTCCCTGTTATTCTTTCTGGCTCTCACCCACTGCTGTATTTTCCAGCACCTTCTGTTACATTTTTGAAGATACTGTATACGGTAAAGTAAAAAATAAATAAAAAGACAGGGAATCATAATGGCCACAACAAGCTCGCAGACCTAATAGATTCCCTGAGAGATAAAAGACAATGGTTTATGCTGAATTTCC